GGTGTTGCTACTAGGGGTCTGTTGAGACAGTTCCTTCAGCACATACAAAGAGAAATGTGCGGTAGCCCCTGTGTGACAGGCCAAGACTAGTATGCTTCTAGGCTCTTGGTAGTATTCCCTTAAAGGAATCTATTCCTGATTCCAAGCCTTGAGCTCTATCCCGGGCCCAGGAGTCTGGCCCTAAAAGGTAAGTATTTTGGGGTATGTAGCCTAGGCCTTTGGCCATAGGGAATAACATTACTGACAGCCATCTAACGTCCCAGGGGCAACTCCCATAGTAATATGGTAGAGTTGGTACTTAGTGCTCGCCATGGTTCTGGCATGCACTCCCCTCAGCATGGTGGCGTGGGTTTACCGTTCCCCATAGCGACCCCTAGAGGATGCAGTTCGAAGTTCCCATGAAAGGGAACATCTCAGGTTACTTCTGTAACCATGGTTCCTTGAGTAGGGAACAAGAAACTGTGTCCTCTAGGTTTCTTGCCATCCTGCGGACGCAAGCTTCAGACGAAGAAGTGAATGATGTGTGCTCCCGGCGCCTATTTATACTATAGTCGCACCGGTAGTGACGTCATGGCTGTCGCCGGCCAACGAGTTGGTGTTTTTTCAATGTATGCTTCAGACACGGGTCACGACAAGGCGTTCTCCATAGTGACCCCTAGAGGACGCAGTGTCTCGTTCCCTACTCAGGGAACCATGGTTACATATGTAACCTGAGATGGTTTCCTTTTTCTTTTTGCAATAGAATGATCATGACAAGTTCTTTATTACTGGATGAATAATTTATTGTTTACTAACCATTATGAGACAGCACACACAAAGAGCACACTACAGTATGGCTAATTGAATATTATATATAATGCAAAAGTATATTTTTAATAGAACGTTGCTCAACATTTGATGTAAGAAAAGTTGTTACACATTGTTTCCAATGTCCTTCTACTGGACTTACAAAAATTAGTCAATTGGTTTCCTTTTTCTTTTTGCAATAGAATGATCATGACAAGTTCTTTATTACTGGATGAATAATTTATTGTTTACTAACCATTATGAGACAGCACACACAAAGAGCACACTACAGTATGGCTAATTGAATATTATATATAATGCAAAAGTATATTTTTAATAGAACGT